GAGCCGGACGGGGACCGGGCCTGGAACGGGCCTGGGGCGGGCCTCGGGAGCGCGGGCGAGGGCGGCGGTGCGGGGCCAGGCGAGCGCGCTCACTTCTCCACAGTCCGGCGGCCCGGCCCAGCGACCCCGTACCACGTCCACCAGCGCCGGGCCAGAGCTTCACTCCTTCTGCCGCGGCGCGCGCCCCGCCTCTCTTTTTATAGCCTCCTCCCTGGCTCCCACCCCCGTGGGGTGCGCGCGCCCGGCCGCGTCACACAGCTCGGGGCCGCGGAAGCCTTCCCCGCCCTCCCCGCCCCGGCCGGCCGGCTCCGCCCCTGCCCCGCCCCCCGACGCCATTGGCCAAGTTCCGCCTGACCACGTCCCGCCGGGCGGTGCGGGGCCAGGAGGGGAAGAAGGTCGCACCCCCGAGGATCCGAGAGGACCAATGAAGCTACGGTTTGGGGGGACGGTAGGCGGGAATAAGAGAGGATTTGGAACGCGACTGGGGGAGAGATGTGCCGGGGAAGGGGCGGGGCGCAACCTGACGCGGGCTGGGTGGAGGGAGCCGGGGAGAAAGGGGGAGGGGAGCGGAGCAGGTGGCGGAGCGCCGGGGTTGGGGGAGCAGGGAGGAGAAGCCAAGGCCCTGGGAGGGAGGGGAGAAGCTCTTCCTCAAAATGCCCGGTCCGGGCGCGACGTGGCCGAGGAAAAGCCCACTCGCAGAAAGCTGCCACGCCGGTCTCCAGCCTTGTCCCAGGGGAGTCTAGGGAAAGGGCGTGTGACCGGGACAAGTGACCCGCCGCAGGCCCGAGGCCAACTGCCACCGGACGGGGGCAGCTGCGGGACCCAGCGGCCGGCCGCGCTGGGGGCGGGGAAGGGAGGCCGCCTCGCCCACCTCCCGCCAGGTGACAGTTTAACTGCCTCCCAGGGTCACACTCAGCAGCAGCGCGGAGACTGTGGGAAGAGTCGCATTGTATTTCACATGTCGCAGCCTGGGCCTCTGCGACCCGATGGCAGGTGCGCGCGTGTGCCTCTAAAGGAGTGCATGCTTGCATTTCAGGGCTTGCTGTCACACAGCTTTGCTGGGGTGCGCGAGTAAGATAATTCGGGGCTGAACGACGTGCGGGTACCTGGGGAGTGAGCAAAGAAGGGACTGCGAGGGAACGGGTAAGCGCCTTCCCCCCAGCCAGCACCCGAAACACCCGGAGCTACGGTGGGAGTGGAATCCGGTGTCAGTCTCGGCTAAAAATATTGCTCACAGGTAGCAACGGCGCCTGATTGGCCGCGTCGGTCCCCTAGCAACCACGCCATTGGTTGCCTGGTATCCAGGAGACAGACGTCAAACTCAGGCTGGGAACGGCGGAGAGACGTCCAGGGGGAGCCGGGGCTGAGGGGAGAAGCCGCGGCGAAGAATGGAGCGGCCGTCGCAGGCCTCCTCTGCGCTGTCCCAGCCCTCGGCTCTCCAGGAGCGCTTCCTGGAAAAACACCAGCTGGGCGTCGCCTTTCCTCCTGACGCCGGGCCTCGTACTTAACCTGCCCGGAGGAGTCTGGACCGCAGCTCGGCGCGCAGTGGGGGCGGCGGCGGGCGGAGCAGACCTGGCCTCTGCCCCGTGGACGCAAAATCGGGCTGTCGCCTCCTCATCCCGACCGAGACCTGGGTCCTGTCGCCTCCCCCACTAAAGGAAACCGCATTCAGAAAGGATCTTTCTAAAAAAGCGCGCGAGAGGGGAGGGGAGGTGGATCTGTGGACGGACTGAGGGTGGGGAGGTCAGGTGACAGATTTCGTGTTACCCTACGGATCTCGGAGGCTCGGCAGCGCTCCTTTTTTTTTTTTTTTCTTAAACAACGTAGAAGTTTTTCTCGGTGACTATAAATTCTGATTCATTTTTAGTTTTTAGGTTTCCCTTCTTTTTTAGTTGCAGACAGAATCATAAAAAAGAATGGGATTGAATTGGGTAATTATGAAAAGCGTTTTAAATGAAAATATCCCTCCATCTCCATCGAAATATTTTATAAATTATTTGTACCGTGGTTTTGGTGTTCTATAACGAACATTCTATTTGTAGTAAAAATACATTCTTATTTAACTATTATAATTAGTTGAGCACAGAAATGACAAGAAAGTAGGTAGGATATTTTGGGAACTGCTTAGCAAGAGAAATGCTAGATTTTTTCACGTGCCCCAGAAGCATAATTTCTTACCGTTAGGCAAATAATGTTTCTGTACCAAACACAGAGTTACAGGGCCATGTGCTGAGCCATGTGTCTTGATTCCTAAATTGGAAAATATATTACTATAATTAGGGGAGACTGTTAGGCTTGCCTGATATGAAAATGTCTAGCTAAA